GGGGGGGGGGTGTCTGTCGATGATCCCTTGCGTTGAATCTGTACATGGCATCAGTCACTGTCAGATCCGCTTGAAAATGCACCTTATACTAGTCGCAAAATTCAAGCTTCTGCAACGATTGGCAAGAAAATAATACCGGGAACTTGTCGACTTCTTTGCGATTCTGGAGCGCAGTAAGGGGGAGACAACATGTTGAACGTCTGGATGTACAGTGTACGTTCATTGTCCGGTGGACCCCCCAGACCCCCCATGCCCCACTGTGCAAAGTTGCTCCTGCATGCACGGCACTCAACGACGTCATCGCGGAGTCCACGTTCTTGGCTCCTGTGGGCAGCAAGCGGCGCGCCCCTGTCTCAGCCGCTTCCAGGAAGGCAAGCGCAGGACCCTGCTTTGCCAAATCAACCGTGCACACTAGTCTTCATAGGGAAGTAATGATGCACATCACTGCACCTCAAAGGGCAAAGCTTAGAGAATTCTTCATCTTATATCGGGAGGATTTCGGACGGGCATTCGCCATGGAAATGCCATCTCATCAAAAAAACACGCACGAGGGCATTCCGACGGGTCAACTGCATGCGATTCGGACGAGTTTGGCTGATGGATTAGGATCGGCCGGGCCCACGTTGGACTTCCTTCGGCTGTCTTTGTCCGTCTCCATCGCTCCGGAGTTGCGAATAACCTCAAGTCCCATCTCGGATCAGACGGAACGGGAAAGTTGAACGCCAAGAGATCCAAAGTTGGACACTTTGAGAGATTTTGATAGACCCCCCGTCCTTGCGGATGTTTTGACTTCATTTCTCACACCAGTGAACAACACCCACGGCACCCTCTCGCACTTGGGTGCATCCCGATGCCCCTGTGTGGCTCTGGCAGAGTGTCGCACATACACTGCGTAAGGCGTCTACGGCAGCACGGCATAACACTATTGTCACACCCAAAAAGAGATTACACCTTCACCGTACTTCATGATGCGATACGAGAAGTCATAAGTCAGAAGAGGAACCGTTCGGCCCTTACCCCGTCTCCCCGTGTTCTCCTCCCCCCAATCCCCCAGGCTTCCGTGCCGTGCCCCGCGGAGAGGTCGGGGAGATTTCAGGATTATGCCCTGCCTTTCCGATAGCCGCTTCAACCCCTTCTCCTCTATCAGAGTTACATCTTGCGGTGCCGGTCAGTTGAAGATCTCAGGGGTCTAGATCAGTCTGTTCGAGGGCTCGTGAGTGAGGGGTAAAATGTCGATTTTCATAACAGGCGAGGGTAGGATAATAATAGCCAACTAACTGATGCACCAAGGGACTCTTTGTGTTACTCACACAACTCCGTTCTGGGGGTGTTGTCAAGGCCGTCATTATGAGCCTATGATGAGCTGATGCGGCTACGTTGGCGAGATAAGGGTATATAGCTGTCTGACAACTACTACGTCGTGTTAGGAAGTTGCGGTGATGATGATTCACACAGGATAGTTCGAATCGCGTATACGTACCTAGCAAGGGGAGTATGAAGATGTTCTCTCTTTGAGAAGGGACGTATTGAAAATGAGAAAAGGTGAAGTGTCATTCACTCAAACATCGCTAGACAGGCGAGTCTAGCTTTCAACCCAAGTCGACGATAGCCTCAAGTTGACTCTTTCGGTAACCACTGCACGACTCTCAGCTACAATAAAAATAACCAGAGAGACCGCAAACATGAAACGGCTCGGTCTCCTGAAACCAACATGTGGGTCTCGCTCACCTAGGTCCAGGTGAGTGACGCTCTTCTCAACACCACGAGTCATGCAAAATATCTCCAGTCCACGCGTGCCACTCTTCCGGGTCATGCTCGTCTACGTCCACAATAACAGCCCACAGCCCTAAATCCACCACACTCAAAATACCCACCAGCACAACCACACAACACTCTCACAAGCTCACAACATGTGAAGGGTTACTCCCACATAGAAAGGACCAAAAGCGCCTACATAATCCAAGCAACCCCTACCCTTCCCTCAACAAACACAGAGCAAAAAAGCTCTCCATACTTATGGATCGGGTATGGTGTAGCGGTAACATCGTTGACTCTCACTTCTTCTTCTTCTAAAGAGTGACTGCTTTCTCAACAGCCCCGGGTTCGACTCCCGGTATCCGAGTGATAAAAACGATTGTTTGTTTGTTCTGGTCCTGGAGGGTTCTTCTGATGCTCTGGTTTTTTTTGGGTTTTTTTGGATCTTTTCTCTTTCTGTTGTTGATAATCAGACTTTGTTTGGCAGGTCATAATATCTCTCAGTTGTATTATCTTCTTTGCTTCTCTTATCAGCTGCTGTTTGTTGTTTGTGAACTGGTACATCTCGACATCTCGGAGAGTTGTTGTTGTTGTTGTTGTGGCTGAGTTGAGGTTTCGTACGAGTTTTGAATTCCTTTTGGACGTGCAACTCTATAGTTTCGTTAAGGAGATTATGAACAATAGAAAGTAGAGGTAGTCCATACATGCCATCCAAGACACGATAATGTTAATAAAGCGGCTAGGGTATGAAAGTATAATACGAAGGTATAGGAGGTGTCACGGCGTAGCCAAATGGTGATGATGATATGATTTGACTAACTTGGACTGAAGACAAGAAGTTGAAGAAGGAAGGAAACTTCCAAAAGGAAAGGCTCAATGGGGAGGACTAGGTTTTATACCCTAAACTCTGGGAGGGAGCCAGGCCAAGCCCAGAACCTGAACCATCTGAACCAAACCCGTGAATGAAAGCCACCCTCAATGGGATCTGTGTACGTGAAAGACCTTTGACGGTCCCAGCCGTCACATTTATCGTCCTCGAATTTATATTCTTCTTCTTTTTCTTAATCATCGTCGACAACCATCTCTATATCGCTATCCTCCTTTGGTTGAATTTTATTCTTTTTTACTTATCCTTCGTGTGTTTCACAATAGAAGCGGTATTATATAGGTTAATTGGCCCTTAAATTTTCTACCCTTTTTGTGACAGTTGATGCATAAGAGCTTGCATTCCTTCGTCGCAACTATATAAGATCACTTGAGTAACCGAATTGCCAGCTTTGGTTACTTGTATCCTTTTGGAACATAGCTGTGACGGTTGTCGCAACTATATAAGACCACTTGAGCAACCGAATTACCAGCTTCGGTTACTTGTATCCTTTTGCAGGAACATAGCCCATTGGTGTAGTGGTTCAATGCTGGTCCGTGACAGGACACTCATGACTGTACGGACTATTCTTTTTTGTGCAGTTAGAGCTTGACTACATCTTTGAACCGGAGAACTGAAACAATCCGAAACTATGTTCTCTGTAGTTACTTGTTCTATCTTTGTCTTCTTGTTTGCCTTGTCACTGTCGCCATTGTCACGGACCAGCGACAACCGTCACAGCCATCTGGCAATACCTCATTCAGATGCTTACAGGTAGACAGGCTTGAGGAGGACGGTTCGTCTTTGGGCTGCCAGGATGGATGACTTGCTAAATGTATCGAGCATCTTCCCATCAGCTCTTGGTTGGCCCGGTCTTGTGTCTACTGCAGATGTTTTTGTTTTTTGTTTTTGCCAAGTGGTCCTCTTCATTGTGTGTTGTGTCTTTCCGGCCATGGGAGCTTGAGCTCTGGTTGTAATGCCTGTTCAGGTTTGATGTTGGAACTCAAGAGAGTTGATGACCTCGTTATGTTTGAGGCTTTCTTGGGTACCGTTGGCAGATCATGAACGCAGAGATTTCCTCCTCACGAAGGTCCACTTTCTCAAGTAGCGAGGAGAGACACCTATATAGATTAACGTCGCCAAGTAGACATCTCGGCGTTGTTCCCTCTTGTTATTAAGCGCCAGTTGTGAGTAGGAAATGTAAGTATGTATCATAATGATATCTACGCTTTGACTGGAAGTCCTCTGAAAGCCAGCCAGACTACTTGTTCCTGGAAAAGTCTTGCTCCGCTAATAAACATTATTCGCTTCCGTCGTATGTTTTGCGACCCTTAGTATGTAACAGCTCCAACAAGACGAAGCTTATTGGGCCCCCTGGCTACCGAACGGTAAATACCACGCAAAACGGAAGCCCCCTTTTGACAACTATCACCTCTGCAGAGGTAAGAGCGGCGGCACACCATCCAGATATTGAGGCACAAATTAGAGTGGCAGTGGCCACGGATCCTCACGGTTCAACAAATACAAAAGGGGCCGCAAAACCAAAAGAGAGATGCGATGTGCGAACGGAAGATGGCGAGCATACAAGAAGTAGCAGCCCAAGCATGTGATGGGATATGGGTTCCAATTATCCACTCCTATTACTTTTCCGATAACGTCCGTAAGACCATCCTATAGTCTGATATAGAGGTCCAAGCAGTCGATCCGCCACTCCCTCCTCCCCAGCAGACTCCTCAACCACTCCAGTCCCAAGCCTGTCCACTCCACCCTCGTCCTGGCCGCCTTGTCCATTGCGGCCGTCGCCAGCGTGCCAACCGTCGTGTTGAACATGTCGAGAACCACGGCCGCTGTACTGTTTGGAATTTCCACCATGGTTGTGCTGGTGCCATTATGCGTAGGAGCGTAGATATGATGTGTCGTCGGATTCGGCTCCTTTGGTTGGAACCAGTTGCTGCTGACGTCGAAGAAGCACCGGTCGGACCAGTTACACGACGTCAGGAAGAGGATGACGAGCAGGAAGGAGCAGTATATGCATGGTCGGTTGAGGAAGTATGTGCAGATGAAGAAGACCAGGATGAAGGCGGGCGACGCGTTGGTCGGTATGAAGAGCAGTGGGAGCCAACTGGATTTGCGATATTGGTTAGTTTTCTTCTTCGGAATCTCTAACTAGCTATGCGCCAGGATTCGGACAGATGGACTTTGACGAACCTCCGAAGACAGAACATTTTCTGCCTATGTGGTTGTTGCACAAAGGCAACTGGACGGGTAGTGTTACTGTCCGAATGTGGGGAAAACGAATGAACGTGTCCTTCCTGGCTGGAATCACCCGAGAGACCTGACAGACGGCGCGACTGAGATCAAAGGGGAGCACCGCTCGGGTTGTTCGCCGTACTAGCGTATGTGGGATTGGTAAACCGCCGGGGATATCGAATCGGACTCGAGATGAACGAGCGTGTGCACACGGTGGTATGATTCGAGGCCGAGATTGGAGATGGTATGTACCTCGACGGAAAGGAGGATTAGGTTCTTTAATCTGCCGTGTTGCACACTCTTCCCGGACTTCAACGTGGCGGGCTGGCTCGTGGGACCCGAAGGAGGTTCAAAGTTTGCTCGTTCGTTCGCAAAGAGTGGAAAAGTTGGCGATTCCGTCACCGTCTAAATTCGATTCGCCAGGCGCAAAGCAAGCAGGAGGATCTGGGACGGGCGGATAAAGAACGCGGAAGCTCTATTGACAGCGTGATTGCACGGCGACAGGCAGAGCGCGGAAGGGCGATCTTCGATCTTCGCGAGGGAAGAATAGTCTTTTTTTTGTTTAGTTTTCGGGGTCCTCCAGTGTCAAAGGAACCTTGACGCGGCGGACGGGACGATCTGCTGTCACTTGCGCAATTGCCCTGTCAGGTCGGAAATCGGGAATGACGCTGGGGGGGCCGGGGACCGTTTGGTGGGGCGTAGCAAGTGGCTGCCCCTGCCATTTTTCAGTTTAGTTGCATTCCATTTGCCGTGGCTGCAATTCCATGACGCCGGGGTCGAGCTTCCATTAAGATCCCCTTTTGCTTACATAAGCCACGTGGTTGAGTGCCGACAACGGTCCATCTTGGCCATTGTCAAGAAGCTGATGAGCTTGGATTGAGCAAGACAGTCTACTTGCAGGGCATTTGTCCCAAGTTGAATGACTGTCATATGCCGGGAGATAGCTCCCTCAAAGAAGAAGGGGTCGTTCACGAATAGGTACTAGACTAGACTTGGTCCAAGGTCAACGAGTAGATATCAAGTTGGCTCTGGATGAGAACGAGAGACGCTACCGTTCAACCGGTGCAATCCATCCAGTAGTCAGCCCTGTTCTATTCCCGTTGACTGCAGGCAGAGTTCGACTTTTGATATCACCAACAGCCTCATAGGCTGGCAAATGCGGCATTATCATGTCACACCCACGACAGATCCAAAGTGCAGAAGCAGAGACGGAATCTGTTTGGATGCCGTCGTGATGCACATGCCTTCCCCGCGCTACTCAATGCAGGTCAGAGTCGGAACATCCAATGCTCAACATGAATACCCGTGGATGTGAAGGCAGGCGTTGGCTACGTGGACATGTGTCGACAGCAGAGAGTGGCACGGACCATCGTGGCCAGGAGGCCCAATGGAATTGGATAGCAGCGAATCGTCGTCAACTTGTCCCAGCCTTGAGAAGTGTTGGACATTGGATGCCCAGACGGCCTGGCTGTGATGATTTTCTGGCTGTCACATCCACCTAACCGTAGGCCTCAGAACTGAACTGTCGGTGTCAACTGTCAACTGGCGGAATGAAGGCAAAAAGTCAAAAAACGTGGAAAAGTGAAGCAGCAAGTGAATGTGTGTTCCAGTTCTCGCAAACGGACGGGTGCAAATCCAACCAATCTCAGGGCCTGAGGCTGGGGCAATCTCTGGAAGGCTCTGGGTCCTTTTTTTCCTCAACTGCAGTGGCTGTAGCTTCCATTTTCTCTCCTCCTTTCTCCTCCCCCGCCAACCCGCCAAACGGAACCAAACAAAACGAGCTGGCCCATCGCCCTCTTCTCACCTCTTTCCTCCCGCCTTTTCCTCTCCTCACCCAACATCGTCAACTTCTCGCGCGAATGCATCACACTGGCCATTGTCAGTTTCTTTGCGCGTGCGACTTTTGACCTTTGCAGCAGACTGGAGCTGAGAAATCAAGCAGCTGATTAGATACGTGAGTACTACTGACTCCCGCTCGCTGTATTTTCGCGCTCGCGCTCTCTGTTTGGCCCTCGGAACTGCTGCAGTTGGTGGCACGTGTCGTGGGCTTTAACCCTGAACCTCAGCTTTGAGCCCGACCGAGCTTGGTGAAGCTTCTTCGTCACTTGTCTAACCCTCGCTCCTCAAAACAGCGTCATTGATTTTAAAAAGAAGTCCACAGCTGGAGCTGAGGTCCCCCTCCTCCCACCAACATCGACCAACCCAGTCACAACCCCCCCCTCGTCACGTTTGGTTTAGGTAATTCGACAAAC